CACACACACACACACACACACACACACACACACACACACACACACACACACAGCCATTCCATGTGCTGTTTTTAATGCCTCATCTCGCCCTGCACAGTCAAGTACGTATCTCCATAAAACTGAAGAAATGTCTACACCGACTCTGCAATGGTTTGTGAGGCACATTCAAAACGGTTTTACGATTTTAAACATTGGTCGATAAAACTATATATGATTTGAAAACTTGAAAGCAATTCGGAGGGCACCGCTGTCATGTCAAGTAGCAAGAATGCAAATAGCGGATTGAGACTCGTTCGCCGGCGGTTTAAGATCCAGTCAGTTTGCTTTAAATGCTCACATGAAAACAGAAGAAAGCACACCTAGACAACCCCGGCAAACCACTGCCCATTCCCCCAAAAGCAACATCTTGTTTCCCATCTGCCCTGCGCAACAAGAAGCAATGTTTCAGACATCCTGCTGGACAAACCTTTCACGACAGTCCTCGATGCTGAATACCGAATACTGAAGTGCCTTCCTCCCAACGGTGCCTTAGCATTCTGGTGTGAGAGTTCGCTTCTGAATGTTAATTACCTCATTCCCCATGAAATTCAGATACCCGTCTCCTCCAAGAGCCATGGAAATCAGGTGGATCATCTGCACAGCAAACCAACAGTGCCCAGAGCACACACCTTGTACAATTGCAAGCCAAACCCATCCCCACGCCAACCCTCCACCCCCATCTCTCCTCCCTTTCTCGCATGGACTCATCAGAAACTACGGCATCTCTCGACACAACAATTCCATACCCATCTCCTCTCCATGCACATTCAAACTCCTTCATCATCTCTTGTCCTACATCGCATCCCCTTCCTCGTCCCTTTTCCAATCATCTCCTCCGCGCCTTAGTCTCCCCACCCGCCTCCTCTAGCGGTAATCCTAATCCCTCGACAACCACGAGAGCCACAGCACACTAGTCCATCCGCACATACTCCACAACTCACACCTCAATGCCCCCACATGCAATATCACCCCACACACCCACGCAATACCATATGAACCGCCTGCCCCTCTCCTGTCCCCCTTCTTCCCCCTCTGCTTACACGGATAAGAAAACGACAGGAAAGGCACACAAGGACACAAGAGCACACACAGATGCACAAGTTCCCCCATAAGCAAACATTCCTGGCCACAAGCATCTTATTCAAACTTTAAACAATTACTGAATGAATCCAGATGCCAGAGACATTGTAGTCATGCCAGCTGGCAGACCGCACTGCCAGCGCGGAATCATTCATGGACGTTAACACCAGCATGGAAGCTAGCCAGCTGACTCAATGAGCGAGCAGAAGATGGTTCCGACAAGAGACCTGGTTGCATAACAAGTCAGACACACACTGGGGCAACAAAGGTTAGAAAACAATGTGAAGGGAACAAAAAAAAACACGTGGCCCCCAGCGTTACGGCACTCGTCTGATTTCATCAGCATTCAAGCTCATGATTTGTCCACTACCAGTTACCTCTGCATAACATCCCGCCACATGGACGAAGTCACGAAGGCGAAGCTCGCATCCCTTATCAACAAAGTCTGATCACGCCTATATTTTGCAGAGCCATAAGGGCGACAGCCTTTAGATATAATAATCATAGGACTGTGCAGCCCTGGGTAATACAGAATTGTAGCATTTCAGTCATGTGCTGCCAGTGGAGTTTGACCCTGGGTCTGTATTTCAACAGTTCCAGGGTGTACCCACTGAGATAGGCCAGTTGGTTTAAAAGGCGGTTAAAAGGCGGTGTTTTTCCTGAGAAACATGGAGAGGAAGGATATGAACTATTGATGGTGTGGAGTGCGAACCCAGGTATGGAAGCAGAGTTCGGACTCATCTTTAGATGAGCATCCATGGCAAAAACTGTAGCAGTCATGGGCACTGGCTCCGGAGTTGTCCGCCAACAGGACTGCATATCAAGGTGTGCACGGTGGGAGAAGAGAGATGCGTCACATACACTGTGGGGGAAAGATGTATACATGGTGTGCTCGGTGGGAGAAGATATACACGTGAATTTGTCAGGAATTTAACCCTTCATGTATGCTGCGGACTTAACCCCAAAATCGCAGATCAAGCCTACTGGAGGGAAAAGGCTGGTGGCGTCTGGCAATTTTGCAGCTGTGCCGCTTCATTTTTCCTTTCCGGCCGGGCAGGAGAGCAGATCAGGAAAAATGAGGCTCGCACGCACTTGTGGTCTTAAGGGGACTTTAATTGAAGCCAGTCCATTATAGACAGGTAGGCACGCACTTTCACCCTTTCTTTGCTTGTTCTCCACTCCTGGAATACTGCTCCTCCTGGATCTCTGTCCTCCTCACATGACCCACGTCTGAGCAGCTCGGGAGTTACACAAAGCCCTTGCAATTAGTTGGTGATCAGCTTCCCAACAAGCCTGTTGCTTTATTATCGCACTTCTGTTGTTTGACGTTCGGTGACACCAATCGGAAATCTGATGTATCGAGTGCATTTCATGATAGGTTATTTGAGGCATGTCATAATGATTGCCATCTCTTCTGTTTCAACTTTCAAATCTCAAGTCATCGGCGACTTTTCGTTTGTTTTCAAACGATTAGCCACCTTAAAGAGATCAGCAACTAAATGCATGTGTACTCTTTTTTGTTTGTTCTCAAGTGGTTAGCAACTTCGCAGCCTTTTTCCTTTTTTTTTTTAGTATAAAAAATACAGCTGTCCCGGACCGGGCAGCGTCCCGGGCGATCCCAGCGCATAATATTTTAAAAAATAGAAAATACAAAAAAATAAAAAAAATCCGAAAAAAAAACATGTGTAAAATACTAAAATTGCAATACAAACGACTTTTGGCTGAGGGCCACCTCGAAATTCCTTGTTAATTTCAGGATAAAAAAATAAATGAGAAAACATGAGTCCCAAAAGACTCCAAATATGCCCTTTTAAGCTAGGCTACCAGAGTGGCCCGGGGTCACTTGCCCGGCCGGGCCAAAAAAATAAAAATAAAAAAAAATATTTTTAAAAATTGTTTTTTATTTAAAATTTGGTGAAGAATTTGGATGTGACCCTGAGGCAAAAGTTATTCAGTTTATTTTTCTGCATAACATAGTTTTTTTTTTGGCTTTTTTGGATTTCTTTTTTTTTTTTTTTTTTTTTGCTGGGACCTTCCCTGGTCCTCGCACCGAGTCGCACGGGCTGGCCACGCGGGACCCGGGCGGCCCGGCTGGTAGCCTAGCTTTTAAGCACTTTAGTCACTGTTTATACCCCCCAACCCCCCCTGGATGACCCATCACCAAAACCGAAGTTAAGACCGGCTTCAGACTGCTTGGGCCAAACAGAGTCCTGGACTGAAGTCTTTTTTTTTGGGGGGGGGATCCTTAACTTTTTTGACCCGTCTTGTTTTGCCGGGCAACCCCCCCTCTGCCCAACTGGCCCGGGCGTGCCTGGCCGGGCGACGGCCCAACATAGGTTTTTCCCCCTTAAAAAAAAAAAAGATGGAAGAATAATGGAGGTGACGTCTTCTCAGTTAACGGATTAGTGTGAAAAATACAGCTGTCTTCTCCTCATATCCCATGGGCCTAGTGGATCCCTCTTTGTTTTTTCCCCCTTTAAAAAAAAAAAAAAAAAAGATGGAAGAAGAATGGAGGTGATGTACAGCTGTCTTCTCCTCATATCCCATGGGCCTAGTGGATCCCTCTTTGTTTTTTCCCCTTGAAAAAAAAAAAGATGGAAGAATAATGGAGGTGATGTCTTCTCAGTTAACGGATTAGTATGAAAAATACAGCTGTCTTCTCCTCATATCGCATGGGCCAGTGGATCCCTCTTTGTTTTTTCCCCTTAAAAAAAAAAAAAAAGATGGAAGAAGAATGGAGGCGACGTCTTCTCAGTTGACAGATTAGTATGAAAGATACAGCTGTCCTCTCCTCATATCCCATGGGCCTAGTGGATCCCTCTTTGTTTTTTGAACTTTTTTCCCCCTTCAAAAAAAAAAAGATGGAAGAATAATGGAGGTGACGTCTTCTCAGTTAGCGGATACATTTACCTTATGCAGTGCAATCCCCCGATCGACTGCAGGAGACGCTGGTGCCAGATCGGACATGCCTGAGTACATTTCCTTGTCCATAAGCATGAAGGCAAAGCTCTTGTCTCCCACCATCGACTAAGGTCCAAGTTCCAACGATCCATCCACAAACACGACAACCCGCAAGCAAAGAGGCGTTCGGTGAAATGCACATTCAGGTGTCACCACATTCACATTGCCCACGCAACAAGCCTCGCCGGACTGACTTCAATTCACAGCTACCACTGCCTTGACATTCATACATCACGAGATATGCCAACGAGTCACTGACTGAACCTACGTCCTTGCAAAGATAACATATATATATTGGCCTTTTAGCTCACATACATGTGATAATATATATTGCAAATCCACGACGAGAACGCCAAGGTGTCAGTCAGTGGCTGAACCATCATACATCCGTGATGAATACCTCGACCACGACGAGAATCCTGGTCGAGGTATTCATCATGGATGTAGGAGAAGGCCATACTGCAAATCGACGTCGAGAAAGCTCAAGAAACACAACTTTGAAGATATCGGTGAGAGCTCTAGTGGCGGGTCTTGCCGATTCTTCTGCCGTACTGCAAATCCTGCTATGCCTTAGTCCCGCCTAAAACATATAGGAAGCCAATAGAATGTCTAGGACATATAGGAAGCCAATAGAACGTCTAGGACATATAGGAAGCCAACTCGAGCTGGTCGAAATGGGACGAGATGCATTTGCAACCATACTAGACCCTTCAGCGGGATAAACCCTTCACGGTCACGGCAGCCTGAATTCCTGTCGAAGCAACACCCGACTCGCCAATAAAGATGAATAAAGCCATGCTAAACAGTGTAAACACCAAGGAACAGGGGGATATCAAACAAGAAGTGGGAACAAGAAGTACCTGCCCAGCATGAAGCTGCGTCTGAAATTATGATTCTATGTCTTCACAAGAGATCACGAGTCCAGATTGTGATATACACAAGCTCGTGTACCAATTAAGGAGTTGCCCCCCAATATCAAGAAAGGAAAAAAGCAAAAAACAGAGAAAAAGTGAGGGCCACAGAACAGGAAAAAGGCACAATGTTTTCCGACTTCCCGCAGTAACTTCATTAAGCGGGAGAAGAATTAACTTGTCAGCTACAATTGCAGGTTCATAAGACAACCATGACCTCCCTGGCACATGCAGTATGTAGCAAAGAAACTGCAACATTGGAGAATCCCGCAACCGCCCCACTGGAGCATCACACACACACACACACACACACACACAGACACGTTCCAAGAGAAAAAGTAGCATTGGCTGCATTGCTGATGCAGCTCGCTCTCAGAGGTGGGACTTTCATCAAGCTTTCGAAACAAACTCACGCTAACAACTCTCCATCATACGACGGGTGAAAGCTTGGTAGACATAGGGTGAGAAAGCCAGATATTGGATGAGAGAGAAAAAAAAGGAAGGAGAAAGCAGCAGTTGATGTCAAGACAGGAGTGTATGATTCTGCAGCAGTAGAGTAGGGGCAAGGAGTAAAGTAGCTTAAAAAGGAGAAGGGAAGGGATCCAGAAGCCCACCGCACGAAGATCACTACTTGCTCGCTGCAAGAAAGTGCAGTATGCAACACAGTCACTGTTCCATAGACGACTTGCGTGGCTTCAAAAGCTTTACTGGGCTACTTTGGCCCACTGTTACGGCTATCAACGGTCCCCAAACCTCCTTTGGGCTGTTCAGCATTGTGTTTGCTTGCTAGCCAAGGACTGATCCGCACTCTTACCTGGTCATGGCTCTCCGCATACGCAACAACCTTCTCCGTGTAGCGCCGATTTGTCAATGCCTTGACAATCTCTTGCATGCTCCAGTGTTCATCTCTCTTGTTCTTCATTAGGTAGATCCACTTGTCGGGTATCCCCATTGCAAGCCGATAGTCGAAACCAATCCCCCCGACCTGCACCGGAAGACCGATTGTCGGCATCCCAGAAACATCTTCCGCTATTGTAGTTGCCTCGTCATACAAGTGATGAATTAGATCGTTCGCAAGCATGAGATACACTGCTGCTTCCTCATCTGTGGTCCAGTCAAAGTACTCGCGGTAATCTCCGGTAAATGACCGGTTAATCCCATGGTGATGGTAAAGCATGGATGTCACACCGTCGAATCGGAAGCCATCGAATCCATACTCTTCCATCCACCACCTCAGATTCGACAACAAGAACCTCTGCACCTCCCAATTGTTGTAATTGAAAAGGCGGCTATCCCATAAGCGGTGATATCCTCTCTCCCCCGTGTGAAAGTACGAGTCCCGAGAACTTTGGCCAAAATCAAACCCGTTAAGTCCGTCCTTCTCATTCTTGCTGGCATGACTATGCACAATGTCCATCAAGATTCTCAGCCCCAGCTTGTGTGCCTTATCGATCAGGTATTTCAGGTCTTCCGGCGTTCCTGATCTGCTGCTCACCGCAAAGAAATTTGTAACGTGATATCCAAAGGAGGCATAGTAAGCATGCTCCATCACTGCCATCAACTGGATAGTATTGTACCCATTGGCTTTTATACGGGGAAGCACTGTGTCGGCGAAGTACCTGTATGTCGCGACCTTACACTCTGGCGAACTCATTCCAACATGGGCTTCATATATCCTAGGAGCAGCTGGTCGTGGTGGTCGGCGGTATTTAAACTTGTACCTGCTCAGCAAGGAGGCAATTTGTATTTTCAGCCGCGCACCAATGATTGATTTGAACCACCCTTGTGTTGATCCATTGATATCTATCAGAAAGGAGCACCTCTCAGGAAACAATGTTATGATTTCATCCACTCAAAGCACAACACATACAAACAATCACCAACCATGCATGTAGACATATGCGAACACGTACACGCACACGCACACACGCACAGACATGCACAGACACATGCACACACACATACCCCCTTGCCATCCCCCCCTCCCCGCTTCGAAAAAAGACAAAACACACACACACACAAACACACAATCCAGAGCCTTCAGAGTCAAAATAAACGGAAGGGGGTGGCGAAGGTGAATCAGGACACGTACCTCTCATTCTTTGGGGGGTCCCAGTAAATGCCGTCATAAGTGCCTTCTAGCTTCCCTCGCTCCTGAAGAGCATATTTAATCCAGGCAGAAATCCGGTCAACCCAGGAACCATCTGCCTTTTGCAACCGGATCTTGACACGTGAGCCGTGAGGTATTGCTGACCGACCATTTCTGTCAGGAATATGAATGCTCCATACACCAAACTCCTTCTTCTCCATGTAATGGCTAGATCCATCCCAATTATTGAAGTCACCGATGAGCTGCGCAGCACTGTATCAACCATTGTTATTCCATTTTGCAAAGATACAACACACGTCAGGACGCAAAACACAGGTAATCTCTCTCTCTCTCTCTCTCTCTCTCTCTCTCTCTCTCTCTCTCTCTCTCGCTCGCTCTCCGTTCCTCTCCCAGACCGTCTCCACCTCCTCCACCACCCTGTCACCTCCTAGACAACCAGAATAAAGGTAAGTTTCACCAGACAGTTGTAAAGGACATCCAACAACATAGCGCTGACTTTGCTGTCCAGTAAAAATAGATGGTTCTACAGGATAGCCAACACAGGTGACCAGTAGTTAGTTGTTCACGATAGCAACAAACCATCAGGTCGTCCCCCCTCTCAATCAATCTCTGCAGACATCACAACTGGGCAGAAATGAGATAACCATTTCTTCTACTGCCACCCAAAGTTCAGAGTTGGCTACTGGGCGACAAGAAAATTCCAGCTGCCCTGAAAAACAGGATAACGGTAAATGTTTCTCGTACTGTCACCAAAGATCCAGTGGGCAAGGCAAGCAGTAGATCACGAGAAAGTCTCCACTGCCATCACAAACGGGCTCAAACAGGTCGGCCGTTTCTTGAACTACCACCCAGGGCTGCATTTGGCAAGAAAAACGGTGGGTGACAACGCCGCCACGAACGCAAAAAATGGAACGTCGCCATAGATTTCTTCAAGATAATTACAGACATTGATTGTGTTAGGTTGATTTTGTTATGTTCCTTGCCGGGCAACCAGCCGGGCCGCCCAGGTCACCTTGTTTAACCGGGCGGCCCGGCCGTGCGAGGACCAGCCAAGGGGCCAGCCAAAAAAAATAATAATAAAAAAACTGAAAACAAACTATGTGATGCACAAAAATAAACTGCACACCTTTTTCCTCAGGGTCACATCGAAATTATTTACCAAATTTGAAATAAAAAATAATATATATATATACAGAGCTGCCTGTTAAACCGCAGGCAGAGAGGGAGAACAGGACAACAAACGAGGGCCTGTGACAAACTGTTTCATCGGAGTTTCACTGACTCATAAGGAGGCTGAACCCTTTATTATTTTTATTATTTTCATTCTTATTTTTTTTTCTGGCCGGGCAACTTGCCCCGGGCCACTCTGGTAGTCTATAGGTTCATTGAATTTTTCTTTTGAGCCAGCTCGTGTGCATACGTTGGCATTTGCAGATGAAACATTGTATAACTTGTATGATTTGTATCTTGTGCAATACCAGAGCTGTGCAGCAAAAATTTCTTGAGAAACTTGAGAGGAACCAGGTAAATGGAATCAAATATTCAAAAAATAAAAAGTCACTTGGGATTTGGAAGGGAAAATGGCCCCTTTGGTGCCATGCCTCAGCGATGCTGTGAATCAGCACTGAATCCTTAATAAGCCCTTCTTCCCCTCACCAGCCCTCCTGTTGGTCAAGAGACAGCTCCATCAATCACTTCAGTTAATGAAATGAATTAAACTGATCCATTCATTTTTTTCCTCTTTCTTTTTCTGAGAGATATTTGATCATCTAGCGAATAGACGGATTCAATCTCCTAGTCGATTAGAGTATTTACTATTTTACAATTTAATAATTTAAATTATTTAATACATTACTAAAAGTTTTAGAGTTCATAAAATCGCCACATCCAAACCGTAAGGTGGAAAGCTTATGCATTGACATTCTATGGTTCGTCTCTGACGGTATTACTTCTCGGTCCTGACGTTTTTACTTGATGACCAATCGACCAATAAGGACGCACTCATAGACCAATCAATGGAAGGATAGGTTGGATTATCCGATAAGATGGTCAGATGTGCAGATTTCCCGCCAGCGCAGGAGATCTGTTTGTGATCCAATGGCTAAGCAGCAATCACTGTGCAGACTACTTGTACTGCATACATATCACAACGCTCCTCCGGCATGATCTCCAACAACATAATGTTTAGGGAGGTCTTTTTCTTTCCTGAAAATCAGAAAATGTCAATAGAAGTTGACAAAAAAAGAAGGTGACTCACCGAGCAGCTGGCGCCCACTCCTTGTATACGATTCCACCATCTTCTCGATTGAATCCAAATTTTTCATAACCTGACAACATGCAAAACACAGCTCAGGCCTCAGAGTATTGAGTAAAATAGACACCCTTGAAGATGTGGCTGCCTGTGAGCTACATTGCACTTCCCTTCAATCCACACTTTCCCTTCCCAGCCTCCTCCGTATCCTGTTGTGCATTTAGTTTTAATTTTTTTAATTTTTTTTTCACCATATCATTTCATGTCCAAACGTTTCAGCACTCCATTGTTCCCCCCCCCCCCCCTCTTACTCTCTTTAAGCGAATAGCAGGTCTCGCGTGACATTCCCACACGATACCCGCCTTCCGGTGTTGGGAAACAGCGGGGACAAACAGGCGGGCCCAAGCAAATAGCAGCAAATCACAGACAGGAACTGGGAAGATGCACCACACAAAACACGCATTGGAAGGCGGGGAAAAGTCAGGAGTCCGTTCAAGGTTTTTTTTCCCCGTCTTTTCTTGGCGTCCCCTGTATGTGTAGATGTTTCCGTAGAAGATTCATCGCGGGAATGTTTTTGACAGTGTGGAAGACCTGTTACCTACTTGGCCTGCCATGGGCTGTCTGCGGTGTCGAAGAGCCGAAGCGATACGTGCGTTGTGGGCCGTCTCCTGCGTTGAGGAGTGTCGTGGGCTGTCTTCGGTGTCAAAGAGCCGAAGCGATCCGTGCGTTGTGGGAGACAGAAGAGTAGCGTCGGAAAGAGAGGGAGATCAAAGAGATCGGGCGTGCGCACGCAAGAGAGAGAGAGAGAGAGAGAGAGAGAGAGAGAGAGAGAGAGAGAGTTTTGCAGTCATGCACACAGAGAGATAGAGAGCGGCTCACGCGCGTGTAGTAGTGTATATTTCAATGTTCTAGCGGTATATTCTTTCTATTTTGGTCGATGGAAGTAAGAGGTCGTGCGAGGGGGAGGAGGAGGTCGCACACGGGGGAGGAGGTGGTCCGAGGAGGGGGAGGAGTGGGTCGTGCACGGGAGGAGGAAGTCGTGGGAGGGGAAGGAGCAGGTCGTGCAATGGGGAAGGAGTGGTTCGTGCAATGTTTCTGTTATGCCCCTGTCAGGTGGGTGTGCAAATCCGCTTGACCTTTTGCAATTGCACCTACGAAAACTTCCCAACTGCCAGGGCATTTTCCAAAGTTGGGCAGCGTCCGGTGCGGGTACATTGCAAAGATGGGGTCCAACTGACGACTCCTTCGTCGCAGCGTGGCTGTGGCGGTGCCACTTGTGTCTATTATATTTAACAAAGATTTGGACTATTTCAGATATTTCTCGATTTGTGCAAGTCATTCTTGCACAGGGGCCATCTTCTCTGTAACCCTGCAATTCTTACGGATTTTATTATTATCTGTTAAATTAGTTGCTTACTTGCTATATTTTTCAGTAATCTGAACTAGTTTCAACTACCAGGACAGGTAACAATTTCATCCAAAAAAAAAAGCTGTCCAAGACGGCGTCGGCAGAGTCCCAGAGAGTCCCAGCACATAGCTAGAGCAAGGGAGGCAAGGAAGGAGGAGCTAGAATTAGCAGTTCAGATCCCTCATGATCTGAAGATTCTGAACCCATTATCAATTTCAGCAATAGTTGCCATGTGTTTTCCATGAAGCCACATGGGGTGTTCTCGTCTTCAATTCGTCTTCTTCTTCTTCTTCTTCTTCTTCTTCTTCTTCTTCTTCTTCTTCTTGTTTTCTTTGTCCTTCTTTATCTTCTTTCTTCTTCTTCTTGTTTTCTTTATCGTTCTTCACCTTCTTCTTCATTTCTTCTACTTCATCATCTTCTTGTTTTTTTTTATTCTTCTTCACTTTCTATCACCACCTTTCTCATCAGAGGACTACCGAAGAAAAGAAAGAGGGAGTGCGAGGGTTTACCCCTTGGCATAAGGTCCAGATGCAGGCACGTGCCCGCCCTAAGTGAAGGCGGGCCCCCTGGATCTCAAAATTCCCTGAACTCGTCAATTCTTGCAAATCTTGGTGAGCTGCCAGACAGTTGCCACGCGCCAGTTGGTTACATCCGCTTTGCTCGTGAGAATCGGAAATATTTGTGAGCTTTCCAGGCTCGTCCAGCAATGTGGTCGAAGCAGGGAACACCGCACGTTTGTGCCTGAGTGGTTGGGCAAGTCTAACCAATTTGGTCCCAGGCCACTGTCTGAACGGGCCTGGGCACAGACACTTTGGCCAAGACTGAAGCTACTGGAAATTCCGTCTCACGGGCCAAGCAAGTGGTAATGCGCCCGCCACTTTCCATATAGGAAAGGGCTGGGCACCGGGAGAGGTATTCCGGAACTGGTAGAACGGCGGCAGCGCCGCTGGAGCGAACGCTCGTGTGCTGCTGCTAGCGCCAGTGCAGAAGCGTGCGCGCGTGCGGTAACCCGTGAGGAAGGGGCTGCTGTGGCCAGCACCATATCCCAGCCCGCGTAGCCGGGCTTGGGCTTGGACAGCCAGCGAGAGGTGGTGGTGGTCTTCGAGGGGGAGAAGACGTGGGTGATGAAGTCGACGGTGAGAGAGAGAGAGAGATGAGGTTGATGATGTGAGGGCACGTACCTGGTCTTGGCGATGGTCTACAAGGTCGACATCTTCATGTACTTCGGCTATTGCTGTTGACGTCAACAGGATGCATTGTCAATTTGTAGGCTGCTAGTAGCTGTGTGGTCGTAGTCTGGGCGCTGAGCGCAAAGTAGGACATATGTTGGTGGTGGCGAGAGTATGCTCTCATTGACATTCACATTCGGTGCTTTGGTTCTCCATTGGTGGAATATCAGTGCATTTCTGCATTCTGGACAGTGTTAGACTTGTTGGCTTTCAATGTGATTTTGCACTCTGGATTTCTGTCATTTCACTATCGCTCATTTTCGTTGCACTTGATACATTCGTCCTTGTGGTGCGACAACACAATAGAGAGGAGTACACAGAACTCAAAAAATAGAAAAACAATATAGAAAGCAACAAGAAATTTCAGTTGGCAATGAGACAGGGAGAAGATAGGAGAGAAAGCTGGAGGGAGGAGACAGAAGGATGGGGATACCTCCACAAACAAAAACGAACATGACTGTGCCAGACTGTTTTGTCGGACTTTCGCCGACTCATCAGGAGGTTCAAAGACGACAGTCTGCGCAGGTCGCATTTGACTGATGGATTAGGACTCGCCACATCGCCCAGAGTTCGTGATTACCCCATGCGTGTGTGTGCCATTCAATCACAAAGCGGCATAGTGGCACTGTCTTATTCTTACCCCGTGCAAATTCTTCGAGTCCGCCTTCGTGAGCGTCATACATCTTTTTTGTGCTCAGAAATAACCGATACCGTGACATGAGATGCTTTTGATGTGCTGCCAGCGCAGGATCGGTCGCAATGACATCAAGTCCGTTGGACGAATAGTCCATATCCTCCCAACTGACAGGACGCTCCAGGGCAGAGGGGGTAGTAGGGAAAGATCTAATTCTTGGCATCCCAACCCCCTGTCGAGGAGGATGAACCCATTGTTCCTGAAACGATAACATGCAAAAACCAAGAAACGGTACCGAATATCAGAACCACATGCAACAAATACCACCAGGTTGGGCATCAAACCACGTCCAGAATCCAAAGTCAGGCACGAGAGCAAATCCACCAGTCAAAATTCTCTAGATAGACACCATAGCGAACAAACAGGTCCACATTTCCATTCCAGCTTTAGGAAGTATATAGGAGAAGAGATGGCTTCACAATCCCCCCCACTCTGGTAGCCTCGGTGGCAACATAATTTCACATCTTAGTTCTTTGGTTCAACATTGTTCAGATAGTTTATATGATTATTAAAATAATAAATAAACAACCACTGACACCCCCCAGAATGGACATGGACCCAGGACCATAAGGGCCTGTTTTATCGGGAAAACAACAACCAAAAAAAAAAGCATCCCATGCCGCTTGTGGAAATGAGTAACTCCTGCCCATGCAGACCAGAGTCCCCAGACTAAAACTAAAATCTGTATACCAATCCATGTACAGTAGACTCCATCCAAATTAAGAGAGTTGGGGGGGGAAGACACAGTAAATAGTAAAGCCAAGTTAAAACCACGGGTACTTCCGAGCCTCTTTTTCCCAACACAAAAAATGCACTGCACATCAAAAAGAAATGAACTGACATGGGCCTCCTTTGGCTGGCGCCACCAGCTGTTTCGCTCCGGTAGGCTGGCCCCCTAAATTTGCAGCCACATGCACACTGCGTCGGAGAAAAATGGCTGGCAAACGTACTTATAGTTTAAACCACCAGTACCTCCACGTTTTTAGGCCGTTAATACAGTGGCTGAAACGGTACGCTGCGTGGGTCCTTGTGCATTTGCGTCAGAGCCTCCTCCCCGGAGGCGGCCTAAAACCCCCTGGGGTACTGATAGTTTAACCAAGTCTATTACTCCACTCTATAGATACTGTACCAATTTCAACAAGGTTAAAACATACAAGGGCCAGGCCCCTGGGCCCACTTTTGCTAACTCTGTGATTCGAAGTCATGAAGCGGGCTATGACGCTGGTGCTCTCGTAGTACGAACATGCACAAGCGGGGCCTGCCTCTCAAGCTCGAGAACAACCCCCTCAGATGTCTCCTCGCCACAACCCACTAAGATTCGTACATGTCGAAGCTAGCCTGGTGACGATGCATCTGGACATCCACACTTCCAAGTGCATGATCTGCACATCAGTGTGCAGATGCCAGGTACATTTTGACCAGGCTAGTTTTGTCCTTCCTTAACATTGAGACGGGCTATTTCTGCGCTTTGCCTAGACTTTGTGTAGTCCTGTGATTCTTGTTGACAGTACAGCATACTCCCACTGCCCTCTTTACCCGAATAGAATGCTTGTCGTTGCTTGGTCATTAGAGTCGCGTATTTGGTGCAACTTTCGGTCTACGTACAGAATAATGACCCGGCATTCAGGTGAAGACCATAGGAATTTCTCGCATGTATTTACCTGCCCACATGGACCGGATGCATGATTCACCCCAAAAGGTCGTGAGGGGCATATGCTCACCCAGACCAGACCAGACCAGACCAGCCCAGTCATGATGGGAATCTGCACCCCATGCAAACAGGATTCTGCTGGGATTCTGGAATCTCAGAGCATACTCATCATAAGACTTTTGAGCTGAATCTGACCTCAAAAGTGGTTAGATACATGTGCACTGTCACCCACTTGATGTGAGTACACCCTCATGCTACCGAAATTCAAAACCTGAAACATTCCGGCTGATGATTCAGCCAGCTGTGTCTTCCGAGTCCTGAACACACTCACAAAATCATTTGTCAGGATCCCAACCCTACACGCTTGAACGTGCTAGAATCCCCACCATCCTTTGCCCAAGGAAACGCTCAGTCATTTGTCGGGATTCCACCCCTATACTCCCTTCCTCTGGTGGAACACTGCTGCCGATCATTTGCAGAATGCCACATCTCACAGATAATACGAGTGTATAATGAACACGTATAAAGCCCACCCCGACACTGTAGGTCAGGACAACCCTGGGCAAAGCAGAAAATCAATCCCTAAACCTCGCAAGCCACCATCCTTTTTTCATTGTTTTTTGAACTTTTTCCCCAAAAACGTTCCCACCAGGTCGCATTGATCAGCCTGCCCAATTTAACGAGATATGTCAGAAAGAGATGTATCGTGCACCCCACCACTGGCACTCCCATGAAACCCAAAACCATTTTGAAAAATCAGATTAAAAATTCAGTGGTCAACATTACGCTGCTGATACTGAAAAAAAACATGCCGGTCCAATAATTTTGAGTTGCCATCATCACATATGTGGGAGCTGGCCCACTCCGTAAGCCACAAAAAACTTAATGCAGAGAATTAACCACAACAAAAGAGGGAGCGGGAACTAAGGGGCAGGGGTTGAGCAACCGCAGTCACCGACCCTCTGGAAACTATCATGCCATCCGCATACAATTCCGAACTGCCTGAACCGTTATCACCGCGACTACTCCCAACCAGCCTGTCCGGATAAGCAAATCAGCACAAACTTCCTTATTCAAGAAAAAAATAATAGACTTCCCTTGAGAGGGGGGTCAAGAACCCACTAACACAGGGGAAGAAGGAAGGGAGGGGGAGGGGGGTGGTGACATGCAATGATCCATCAACCCTCCTTGAAACCATCGTGGCGGCATATGATTCCAGACTGCCTGGACCGTCACAGCCCTGACTCTTGCCAGTGCAGCTGTCTGTATAAGCAAATATGGCACAAACTTTCTTTTTAAAGAAAGAAGACAAGGACGGCGGTTCTAGGAACAACAAGGACTCTCCTCCGCCAGAAAAATAGCGATGATGCAATTCCAGCCATTCATCCCTGTCAAATAGCTTTCCCGGTTACACGGACGAGCCCTCAGATGTGGCACTCCAACCCATGGCCTCCTCAGGGGCATGGTCCCATATTAGGCTAGGTCGAGGCTAGGTCTTGATGGTGTGCGACAGGTGTGGGACGCCAATTTTGTTTGAAGTTTAAAGTTTAAACGAAATCGCGACAGTCAAAAATGTAGTATTTCAGACCGCTGACAACGGAGACTGGATGCCGCCAGCAGTCATCATATGAGCCACAGCCTGACGCCACTCTGACAGCACAGGATCGGAACGGCAAGGCAAAAGGATGAAGTCCCCTACGCGTAGCCCCTGTAAGAGTGAAGGAAAACAGCACATGAACTGAAAAATCGACAGAGACTCACAGGCGTGTTAGACCTGCAATGCAGACAGTGTCGTGGTTTTCTCAGACGCACAGCAAACCTCTGGAAGCACCAAGATCGTGGTCTAGATATCTAACGGATTCTAACCTGACTGTGCAGGACCTAGGGGTCCAGAGTATGGTATAGCAGGGGAAAAACGCGAAATGAAAATTGGCCAATGGCCAAAAATTATGAAAAAAAGAACCCCCCAATCACCAACCATCCCAACCACAAATTTCAGCAGCGGGCAGGCATCATGCCCTTAAACCACCAGTACCCCCGAGTCTCTTTTTCGGAGTTCCCGGTGTGGCACAACCAAAAACGAACCAGATTAGGTGTGTTTTGCTTTCTTTGGCTGGTGTTGGAAGTCTATTTCAGTTAGGCCGAGCCCCAAGTGAAACAGTTTTCACCTTTGGCAGTAGCCGATGCAGATCCCAGGGGTCGATCCTTTGACCTCAGCTTACCTGTGTACAGTATCTGCACAGTTCCCTGGAGTTGAACCCGTGACCTGCACGATAGCCAGTGGTAAGTAGGTCGCCGTAGGTTGTAGGCTGTAGGGAGATTCGAACTGTAGACCTGTAAGGTAGGAGTCCAAGTAGAGTCCAGAGGCCTAGCTTTAGTCCTTCTAGAAGGTCGGCAAGTGGTCAAGTGGTGAATCTAAGGTASGCCCACGTTTTCAGACGAAGACAAGTGGCAARGTCAACAGGTAGGACCTCAGTGCAACTGCACTGAGTCGACRGTACGACTGCCTACAGTCAGGAGAAGGGTCTAGAGAGTCCCAGTCCARTCCAGCAAGTACCACAGGGGGACTGTGAGCACCAAGGGCCGATGGCAAAGGGCAGACCAACGAATTTCTGAAGTATAAATCAAGAGGCAGCGCCCAGCCATTCATTCATTCCTGCCTGAGCCATGCGGAAGCGCTGCCACAGCGACTTGTGCAAGGAGGTCTGCAGATGAGCCCGGAGGACGCAGTGGGCAAGAGAGGAGGAGTTAGCATAGCGATAGGTTAGAGGCAGCTATGGCTGCGCGTTGAGGACTACGTAGAGGGAGTCCAGGCGTACTTTCGCCTAGAGAAGGATGGGAAGGTGGAGAAAGTTCTCCATTCCCTGACACTCCTCGTGCAAGATGACCTTCCTTTCGATGTAGTGTTAGGAATGGATTGGGGAGAGGCAGCAAGGGCCACACTCCAGTTGAAAGAGCACGAGTGTAGGCTCCCTAGTCCGTCAGGTGAGGCTAAGACTCCCCGCTTGTTCCATGTGTCTGGTGTAAACAATACCTTGGCACATTGCTGTCTCAATGCTCCCGCATTCGCGCGATTAGTCAAAAAGGAGCAGTTAAGAGGAACAGGTCTTCGTAGTTTATGTTAGACCTGTCACTGAGGCCCAGGAAAAGGATAGTTCCACAGATCCAACAATTGCCAAGCTGCTGGAAGAATTCAAAGACTTGACTGAGTCGCCGAGAGGAGTAGTGTCGCGACCCATCCAGCACAGGATAGAGATAGAACCTGGCAGTAGAACTCCTAAGGGTGCAGTCTACAGGATGTCCCCTAGAGAGTTAGAGGAGCTTCGCAAACAGTTAGACGAGCTCCTTGAGAAAGGTTGGATCAAGCCCAGTTCGTCTCCTTTTGGAGCACCCGTTCTGTTTGTCCCCAAGAAGGAAGGAGAGCTGAGAATGTGTATAGACTATAGGGGATTAAATGCGATCACCGTAAAGAATGCTGAGCCGCTGCCCAGGATAGACGATCTTTTAGATCGGGTGCAGGGTTGCAARTATTTCTCTAAGATAGACTT